TTTGCTGCCTTCATTCCGCTCAATGACACATGCCATAGGGAAAACGTTTGGCTGTGCGACATCACAGCCTCCACGCCGTGCAAACCTTTGAAAAGCCAGGGCTGATGAGTGTTACGTAATTTTCGTTCACATTATCGGCGATATTTTCCTGTCACCATTGCCTCCTGTGTTCCAAGTCTCCAAAATTCTGAACAGAATATCATCTGTAGCTCCAGTTTGTATGCTACTGAGTTTTGCAAGTTCCCATCGATATTGTTGTATTGCTGATAGCAATCAATAAGATCATGTCTTTAGCACTTCTTGAGGACAGAGCGCTGTGCCTTCACAATTCTGAAGTATTTCAAGTGCTTTAATTGTTACTTTCAATGAAATAGTATATGGGTAGCAAAAAACGAGTTAATCAAACAAATATCGACCAATTATGTCAGTATTGTGTTTCTCAACGAAATGTAAACCAAATCCTTCCGTCCGACAGTAAATGATTTCCAGCTACATGCAAAACACCCCAAGGCTCAGGGAGGTTTTACTAATCAAACCTTGGGCTCCTGCTTTATTATTCAAGGGTGCACTGATGAGCTTCAACTTCTACAAAATCGTGGTTGTACGGAGCTTGAACTTCGCAAAGCTGGAATATCAACTTTCGTGGAATGTATCCAGTAGAAGTGTATGGCTTACGCAACCAAATTCGAAAGACTGAGACACGTTGGTCTTGTTGCCGGTACAACCCCAAGTTGGAACCAGCATTCTGAATCACACAGAAGTTTGTGACATCATAAGATGTCACGTATGCATTTGGATAATTATACTGTCACCTTCTTTTTTCTTACAATGCATACAGAAGGTGCTAGGTCTAATTCATGTAATGGCTAAATGAAGCCCATTACACGTGGTCCCGCTGAGGGAAGAAAAGAATAGAGATCGAGAACTGTCAGACAGACGGATCAAAACTACTTGCCGGTCAACCACTGCCACTTACTTAAAATTAGCCGTCGCGAACAATCACAGTGAACGCACGCTTTGCTTTAGCACATCAGATGCAGGATCATTAATTCAACAGATTGTGCGGTGCTCGTTGCATCCCTGCTAAACATTAGTATTGTGCTACAGACACCACAATGCCCAAACTTAGTTGTATTTCCCTCAATTCTATCATATCAGAAGTGGATACACTTATCGGTATAGGAAGGTATAAGGCCTGTTGCTGTCACCTCACCATTTCCTCTTCGTTCACGTAAACTAACGACACGCTGGAAGTGAACAACACGCAGTGAAACGTGTTTACCGATTAAAATCTTCCTCAAAAAGTGCATGCATACGAACGATCAATTCCTGTCACAAGAAACCCTAGATACGTGCCTCGCATGTCGCGCAAGGGGTCTCCTAGCACGCGGGGTGCTTGCGACACGAGATATGAGTCAGCTTCCGGAAACGGTAACGGCTTTTATGCACAGCTATGGCGCGTTTCCCAAAAAAGACGCACGCAAAAGTTGTGCGCAGCATGAAGGCAGAAGGTTGGAGCGAGGCAACGATCAAAGAATCTCAGGTGCTTACAAAAATGGCGTCTGAAATTCGATCGTGCAACTGACCGAAGCAAATATGTTACACGGCTAGCGGGGTTCAAGAGCTTAAAATGACGCGAATGGGATGACTGAGCGGCAAAAAACGTAACTAATTACGTACGATATGGATAATGCATTTACATTTTCTGCACCATAGGCATCTTGGCTGTAAAAGCAAATCTGGGACTCGCAACAACGTGGGGGTATTGGCAAGGCATGTCATCATTTATATCGTCGAGGCCAAGAAGAGAAATGACCTTGAGATGTTGCGGCATGTCCCGAGCAATATGAAGATCAAAATCGAACAACTTAAGACGCTTGTGTCATCAGCATGAATGAGGTCGCACTCGACCTCAAGATAAACATTTGTAGTCCAGAGCAGGAGGGTTAATTGCGTTACATGTAAGACTCACCAAGGTCGGTTTAAAGCGGGGGTATCAATGACATACGCTTGTACTTGGGTTCGGTAGAAAAAAGATTATACTAGCTGGCGTCGACGTCGACGACAATTTTTTACAGTAACAGGATCTGCAGCTGCTTTGCAATTTTCATGGCAATGACATCGCTTTCAATCAAGAATATCATACAGGTGTCAGAGTCTTTTGGTATAAGAGTTAAAACACGCGATGCTCACTTCAATGCTCTAATATACCGACAAGCAGTTGTGAGCACTTAGGCTGGAATCCGCAAATGCTACGCGTACACAAATCAGTGACGATTGCAACGGCAAAGCTATGTGCTACATGTCAACGCCGGGATGTGGGATTTCAACTATTCGTTTGATTCGGTCGCTCATTGGCAGTTTGCTACGGATAGCAAGATATTTGCGCCTGGGAGTTGCATTCGCGAGTCGGAGAGCAACGCTTCGGACAGCGTAAGAAGTTGAAAGCTGGCGAAAACAATCGTACGTTATCGAAGTAGTAAAATAATGGGGCTCGAATTGTGCGCAGAGACCAACGTCGCTCGAGTCTTACAGTAGTGCTGACTTTGCCGCATACAATGGATGCAGGAAGTCGCTTACAGGTGCAGTCGTACAATAATCGGAATGCCCGTGAGCTAGACAGAGGCGGCGTCTCGCTTTTGATCATGGAGGCCAAATTTGTTGAGGCCTCTGAGACGGCACGCGAGCTTCTAAGAGTTAAAAAAAATGATGTAGGAGTCGCGCCAGCTCTGCCCATTCAAATATACGTGGATAAATAACCAGCGATTCTCAGATCCAAGAAGAAGCCTTGTCTCTGCATAGTACGCATCAAAACTTGTTTAAAAGTGGTTGCGGTGGAGATACACTATGTCCTTCGGAGCTTATGCTCGCGGATTTATCAAGCAAGGTCCGAACCAGCACAGACTTGCCAATCTGCAAACATTTGTAGGGTTGCGCTAGGTGTGACAGCGGATTATGATCGCAAAGATGAGTGTTTCAAAGTAGGCTGTATGTTCCTCGATCGAAACCAGTAGGTATATGATGGCGTCAGGGATGACGCAACTCGATGACGCCCGCAATGACGTAATAGAAAAGGCTTAGAAGTAGTAAATTACACTAAGGACCTTAATTGCAATCAGTTTCAATACTGTCAACTTCTTGGCACGATTTTATTTCCACATTTTCAAATATCAGTCCGGGCAATCCATCAGCAGTATAAGGGAAAGCGTCGCCGCAAGTCGCGCCCGACGAATGCTTTCCAGAATGTCTCCCGCAGGTTTATCAGACATCTGCCAATATACCAAAGTCAAGCTACACGACTTCTATTTTGCTGGTGTGTTTCGTAGCCACACTTCATGATCGGGACCATTGCAAACATAGAAGGAATATGCCGATCGCTCCAACTCAATGACTTGCATTAAAGTGCGACACTGCGAGATTAAGCGAAAACTTGTCGAAAGCAAAAGATAGTCTCATAAGCATTTGTTGTCGTTGATCCGGCACTCAAGCACGAACTTTCTTGCTACTTTCAGAGTTGAAATAATTTCGGTCAATCTGTGCCGTATGGTCATTTCACGCACATATCCTAGTCGTATTTGAGAATCGATTCTCTGGGTTACTATGACGTTTTTTGTTTGTATTTCTCAAATTTTACGATCCTTATGAAACAATATAAGGCTCAAAATACTCCACAAATATCATCCCTCATTATTTTGCATATTACGAATTAATATCAAATTGTCGAGTCATCTATTCTTCTAATAACGCAAAAGACATAAAAAGGCATGTCGGTTGTAGCACCATACCGTCGACTAATTAAACTATGTCTAAAATGGTCCAATAATTGCGATATTTGTGCCACTACGAAAGAAAGACAGTTTCGTGTCTTATGTTTTGGTCATTGCCATTTTCTTCTTCGGCATGACAGCGCGGCGGCAGCGGAATTCGCCGCTGCTTAGCTGTATAGCATTTATACTCTATACAACGGAAATACAAGCTGCTAATGCAGCCTATTCTATCGATTTAACTGGTATCACCTCTGGAACAGGTACGATACTTTGATGTGTACGAAGTTGATTAAGTTACTCATGATATTCAATTATATAATGGAACAGCGTACACCCTCACAGTGAACATTGGCACTTTAGATACTTCAGGATCTACAAATAAAAGTGTACGCAAAGATGTGATCTAAGTGTTGAATTATAGTGTTGGACTCACGATTTAGCTGTAGAATGCATTTCGAATGATTGCAGACACAGGCTCGTCAAATGACGCAGTTCTTGGTGAAGGATGCTGCGGACCGGATGCAGAAGTGACGTACTCATGTGATGCATCATCAACATGTGTAAATGGAGGGGGTGAGAAGGTTACACTTGCGTTTGCTGGTGCTAACATTCAGTAAGAACTTTAAATAGAGCAATGAGACGATTACACTGACGCAAATTGTTGTTGATTTGCTATAGAGGTCAATTTATGACAGATACGTGGTCATCTGAACAACTGGGGGAAATCTCCAAGACTTTTATGGTTATTGAGAGACAGGATACGTTTTATCGGTCATCGTACGATGGAATTACGGGCTTAGCATATGAGACGCTTGTGGCGTCAACAGATATGATTGTACCATCGCTGTATAATGTATTGATTGATACAGCGAAAGTGACTGATGCTTTTGGGATGCTACTCTGTGGTACAATGCAACCATTGCTTCAGACGGGGGGAACAGATTTTACGCTTCATTCTGGACAATTGCTTATTGGTGGTACAGAAGGCACTCATGGCGAAAACTACTACTCTGGCAGTATGCTTTATACTCCAATCACAAGGGTATGTTTTGTTGATGTGAACTCTGGTTTCCTTAAGTAATGAGTTGTTGTGGCTCTTAGGAAGCTTGGTATGTTGTAATGGTAACTGATATTGGATATGATGGCACAAGTCTTGGACTTTCATGTGATAATTACAACGATCCGCAAGCAATTCTTGACTCTGGCACGAGTAATTTAGCGTTTCCACCAGATGTTTACAATGCCCTCATGAATCAAATTATGACAGCTACGCTAGCAGCTATTCCAGATTTTGATCCGACGTACTTTGATGATTCGAGCTCGTGCTGTCATGAAAGTTATTGTGATCCCACATCGTCCAGCGCTGCATTATTACAACTTCCTTCAATCTATTTTACTCTTGGATTATCATCTAGTGATGGCTCGACGAAAAAACATTTTACTGTTGAGATTCCACCTGAATACTACTGGCGTCCTGAAATGAATGGTGCCAATTCCAGCACACCCTGTCGTGCACTTGGCATTTCCGAAGGGTCTTCCACTGTATTAGGTGATGTTTTTATGGACGGCTTGTATTCGTATCACGATCGTGCAAATGGTAACATTGGTCTCGCTGTCGCAAGCAATTGCCCAAATAATATCACGTCAAGTAAAAAAGTTTATCCGTCGGACCTCTCGGGAGACTGGTGCTCTTGCTTTTCAAAGTCTCTTCAAAAGAGCAGTAGATGGACAACATATGTACCGTGGGGTACTGGCTGTTTTTTTTGGCTTTGGTGGATGTATCTGGTTCTGGCTAGTATTGCGGTAGTGATTGCTTGTATCTGCGTATTAATTTGGTGGCACATGACGAGTAAACGGATGAAAAAACTTCAGGATGGTGTGAATTTATCCAACACTTCTGGCCATCGTACCACACGCTTTCCAACAATGCAATCATCTGAAGCAGCTCTAGCTCCTGCGTCACCACCGGCAGATTACTATGTGGCATCAACTTCGACTCCTAAGAGTGGCCCGAATCGTTCTGGTCGGTCGGGCTCACGGCCTGGATCAATACGATCCCCACGATCACAAGGCAGAAGATCTGCGCCAATTGAAAAGGAAGTCCCAATAATGGCTCAATCGAAGTGTTCCAACATGAGCTCGCCACGGTCACCAATGTCCAGTACTTCTAGTATTGCGCTTTTATCGGAAGCACCTTCTTCAATGGATAGCTGGAAGCACAATCTAAAACCGCTTACGTCTAGTAGCCAAAACTCAGATTACAAGTCGAGTCTTAATACTCGATGGGGTGCGTCAATAAAAGAGAATGAATTTTAAGCAAGTGGAGGACCATGTAGTTAGATGCTCTTTAAGTTAGTAAAATGAACAATTGTACTTTATCAAAATTACTAATGCTAATCTTTAGTTAAGAGCAACTTGTAATATTACCACAAAAAATTCCATGATTTGATTTACTCGCCGAATGAAAGACCAAGGAAAGGCTTTTTCAATATGGTTCATTACTAATGGAGACTAACGACGCAGCGCTTATAAACCCATCAAGACATTCGAAGTATCTCTGCGAAAGTACTGACAATGCAGCAATGACGATCGACAAAGTGGTACTAGCAAAGGCAGCCATCCCTTTTAAATATAATAAATTGTTATCTTTGATCGATTTCATTGAAGAGAATGAAATTGATGGCAAGAATAAATGTTCTCTTTATTTCAAAAATCTTGCATAATTGATCTTACAAATCATTATCTTAAACCCTCCCATCGTGCGTGGAATCTCGCCTATTGCCAGTGTTGAGAACGTCCGACATTTTCACACAACAGACTTTGCTTCGTACATTTAGCTCCCGTCACTAGCATCATGGCGGATTCACGCGACACACGCGGCGATTCAGCGTGTTCAGATGATTCGGATAAGCTTAGTCCACATGATTTTGTGCAGCGTCAGATGGACAAGATGCGTAGTTTAGATGAAGCGGAAAACTCTTCTTTCCTCGAGTCGGCGCCATCACATCGCAGCAGTAATCTCAGTGGTACGAGTGAGCGTTCAGCAAATAGAACAGTCTTTGAAAAACTACAGGCATTGGCTCTTGCGGAAAAAATTAAGCTTGATGAACAGAATAATGGATCTGGTGTCAAAAATAGTGAGAAAGATGATGAACAAGAAGACGAAGAGGACGAAGATGATGATGACGATTCGTATGAAATTTCATGGGATGGAGGTCCTCTTGGACTTTTGTTTAAAGTCAATACGAATGGACAGCCTGTGATTCGACGCGTTAATAAGAAAGGAGCGGCTACAGGTTTGCAGTACGCACGAGCAGGAGATGTGCTGCTTGCTTTGAATGGTGTGAGTGTCTCTGCAACGCCTTTTAGTGAAGTGATTGAGCGATTAAAGAATCCGGAATTTCCAGTCAAATTAGACTTTCGACCATTAAAATTAAGTGATTTGGCGTCAGCAGCTTCAGCTGCGACAACTAAATGGGGACTACCTCGTACAGACTCGTCAATTCATAGCGGTGATGCATCATCAGCTTTCTGTGGATCTCCAGTATCGTCGAATGCAACAGTGGACATGCGGAACAATCGAGGAGGAGGATGGGGTGAGTCGCCATCGTATATGCCACAGATGGATGAACTCGTTACGACAGATTCAAATGATGTTGAGTACGATGTCGTGTGGAGTGAAGGACCTTTAGGGTGTGAAATGAAACAACGAAATGGACTCCCGGCTGTCAAGTCTGTAACCGGCACTGGTGTCACACCATCCGTTGCGCAGATTGCAGCAGGAGATATTCTCGTCAGTATCAATGGCTTGCGTGCAGAGGAGATTGGTTTCAAAAGCACGGTAACGCTGATGATGCGAGCAACGAAGCCTGTATACTTGAGATTCCTTCGTGGTGGCGCACGACAGTCAACGTCGGGAAACAGCTTGAGCGATCTACCACCCTACAGGGGGCCTCAGAGCAACAGAGGACCGTATCACGATATAGGTGGAGCAGGGGCTGATTCCGCGTCGCTGGAATTAAAGCAGTATACGGTGCTATGGCGGGATGGTCCTTTGGGGATACAAATCCGTACATCCAGCAAAGGACGTGTCGTCGTCGCGCGACTGACTGGCGCTGGCGCGCCCAATGTGAATGAAGCAGTGAAACCAGGCGACATTTTCTTGCGTATCGCGGGTGTTGAAGTTGATGATTTGGGCATCGCAGGCGCATTTGAAATGCTCAAAACGGTACGAAAACCAGTTGTGCTCGTCTTTCAGCGACGTGGACGTGGTTCAAATCGCTTGAATCCGCGTGGTCGACATTTTGGCTTACCAACACCAGTACCCGGACCATCATCGTCTATTGTACCTTCTTTCCGGCAACTACGAGAAGAGGAAGCTGCTGTTGCTGCAGCTGCGGGGATTGTAGGAACACATAGTGCCGGATACAATCACTCGAGTGGTAATAGCCACGAGCAGCAGATAAGAGCTGGATTTCAAAGCTTAGAAAATTACGCAGCTTCGGACGATGGAACAAGTCAGGCAAGCTACGATTATCTAGACTCGCCGCGCTCAAATGCTTCACACAATCCATCTGGTAACCTGTTCAATGTTGACGGAGCCGTATCTGAGAACGAGCCCGGTCGCCCAGTCCAACCACCACCATTTCCAAGTATGGAGTCACGTAGTGCAGACGATGACAAAAGTTTTGAGGAAGATTCATTTCCAGCAGAAGCTCGCGATGAAAGCCCATCACTTACAGCATTGCCGCCACCTCCATCCTATATGGACGTTTTCACGGCCTCTGGACGAGCCAAGGATCCTGATACAGTGGTGCCTTCTTCAACTAGAAGTATGGACCTCTCGAACATGCCTGATAACAAATCAGGTGGTGGCGAATATTTTAGTGGACACATGGAACTTCCTCCACCTTTTGAAGCTCACACGAACGCTGGCGTACTGCATCCTCCACCACTTTATCCCCAAATTCAACTTCCACCTACAGAGGAGACTTCATCATTGCTTGGTCAGCCAAGTCGACTACAAGAGCTTCGACGTCAGTATATCGAGTCCGAGCGCCAACGCAACTTGCATCAGAATGGAAATCCGATGATGGTAAGTACGTACTCGGATATTGATGACTCAGGTCTTGTCGTACCTCATCGAGGGCAAGCTTCAATCGGGTCATTACCCGGCGGTGCGCCACCTCCTCAACTCCCATTACCGGAATTGTGGGTGCGCTGGACCGATGGTCCTCTCGGGATCACATTTAAGCGCAAAAATGGACAAATCGTCGTATCGCGACTCACAGGCTCAGGATATTCGCCAGGTTTAACACAGCTTCGGTCCGGCGACTGGCTCGTGTCGTTTAATAACCACTCGACCAGCAATTTACGGCTTGGTGAAACGATGGAACTGCTGAAGCGCTCGCCAAAGCCTGTGGAAATGTGCTTTATTGTTCAATGAGGCCAAAACGTTACGTGAGCACTTATCGCACAACCTACCACACCCATGGAAGTAAGTCTCGAGTACTTTTAGACAATAGCAACCTGCGCTGGACTCGCATGAAGTGAAAAGATAAGGATTCTAGGCGACAATGCCTAGCGATAACGTTAGTAGATTGTGATGCGTTCAATGACATGTGATGTTACACCGAGTGATTTATTGGGGATCAGACATTTTTCATTTCATTCTAGCGACTGAATAGCGCGTGCAACTCTGAGCCTTTGCAGCTTTTGTAGATATGACATCATGAATGTAGTTACTCCTCAATTGGTTCGGTAGACATTGCACGCTTTTGAGCTCGAATTGCTGCCATTAGATCAAGTGATTTGTTGACTCGCGATGTCTCGGTCGACAATTGATTCTGATTACTATGTGAACAAATAATGCTCTCTCTCTGCTTCCGTCGGGCCTTAATAGCATTGAACACAGACGCACTGGTGGGGATAGCAGCGGTAAATGAATTATTTGAAGTCTGATCGTTCGACAAAGTGCACTGGTTGGTTGGAGTGTTCACTTTCCTCCTTTTCACCCAGGGCACTCTGCTCCTTTCACTCGCTGCATTTATTTTGTCAGCGTCATTCAGCGTAGTTAAGTTTTTCTGGCGAACATCGTTAATCAACTCACGTAAGCTTTTTAGAGTTGCGGCTGCAATCAGCGTCTCGTGTTCACCACGGACGTCTTTTTGAGAGAGCAAAGCCTCAACATCACCAAGTATCTCTTGTAAAAAAATGACAGCGCGACATGCTTCGCGAATTTCGGCAGGTGATCGAATATCTTCTTTGTCTTTAGCGAAGTCCCGCTTTCCTGTCACGCATATTCCTGCCCGTTTTGCATGTAGTTGCATCAACTCACGCGCAGTGTTAAGCAGCAAGACACATTGATTGAGCTGCTGACGACCGCTAGTCTCAAGTGGAAACGAGTCATCAAGAGATCGAAGTTGTGCCAGTAATGAGTCCATCTCTTCCAGGGCACTTAACGCTTGTGCAAACTCGCGCATATTCGTCTTATAGTGCACTTTAAGGATCTTTTGACGCTGAATTGGAGCTATATTTTGAACGTAATCTTGTGCTTCTAGCAAAGCTTTTTCTCCAGCACCTTCTGGATCGCTTTTCACAATGTCTTCCGTCATATACTCAGCGTTCGTAGTAAAACCCAGTCCGGAATACAGCTTCTGCATCCTTTCTTCCGTGCGAACAGGACAAATCGAGCTCGCTAGGTCACAATGATGCTCGGAACGAATGATTGTATGATTACTGCCTACATCGTCGTGAAGGTGATTCGTGAGGTACTTCGCAGCCGTCATGAAGGATTCTTTCAGCTTGCATAACCAAGCATATTTCCTCTGTGCTAAATCATCCCTTTGCTGCTTCTTCCACCCCCTCGAAGGTTCTATCATCACAGCGTGAAGTGCACGGCGCTCCAGAAGCGATAAACCTGTGGTACGGTACCCTTCGATCACACTTGGATGCATCTTGGCAATAGTCGTTGGGGAAGTTCGCAACAACTGAAGCACATTCGTTCGTTTTAACCGCCTTGCCAGCTCTGGAGGAAATTTAGATCCCGTCGGAGTCACGATCTTAATCAATTCGCGCTCGGACAGCCGTGCGATATTTACCGGAATTGCAGATCGCAGTAAGTGTAACGCTTTAATGTTCTCGGTATAATTTGCATCTTCCCATTCTTGCTCCTGGCGTTGTTGCTCCTCAATATACTCGTCTGACATGACAAGTGCCATGTGGTATTTCTCCATTTCCTGTTCTAAAACGTAGTATTCCTTTCGTGCAGCAGCTTGGGCATGCTTATCCTCGAGTACCACCTCAGACGAGCCAATCTCTTGCAGTCGCTTTGATATCTCGGCTACTTTCTTCTTTGCCACATCGTATGGAATGACTTCTGCCACAGAGATACCAGCTTGCTGCAACTGACGCTCCAGCACTCTTAGTTTCTTCTTTAAAGCATCACTTTCATCATCTTCATTCGCATACACTTCGGTTTGCCGCAACTTGTTCAAACAAATAGAGTCGCGATCAAACGCAGCTTGTCGTGCATTAGCTTCCTGCGTGCAAAGCTTTTCGTGTAATGATTTGATTGTTGCTCGAGCATCATGCAGCTCAGCTTGTTGCTCGATTGAAAGAAGATCTTGCTGGCTTTCCTGCGTCGCTATTTGCGCTTCTAATGCTAAAATGCGCTCTTGACTAGCCTCGACTTCCTTTTCAAGCGCTTTAGCTTTCAAAATTGCTTCAAGTTCTTCCTCAATAATTCGGGCATCAGAAATTGTATCACTGCTAAACGAAAAGTCCGACATGTTGTTAAGAGTCGACGATGAGCGATTTGACGTATTGTCAGATGGTGATGGGGCTTGAAAGAACCCTGAGCCGGAGGCAGATGATACAGGCAAATCCAGCTTTGAAGTGATGATAGATCGCTCTAGATAGCCAAAATTTCCGTCATTTGCAGATTCTGACGTACTCGCTTCATTATTGCAATGTGACTGGCTGATTTCACCCTCCTGCTGCCTTCTACACGCTACAAAACAGCATGTGCATAGACGAAGCTTGTCCTCCATCAGTGGTGTTCTCACTTGCCGAACAACAGAGCACCGCCTGCAAATGACTTGTCCGCACATTCGACATGAATGACGCTTCCGCAAAACACTAAACTCTCGCATGCAGACATAACATGCCTTTTGAGCGCTGATCAAAAGAACGAGCAAATATAAGTAAGAGCAAAACACGCTGAAAATGAGAGCGACAATGAAACTACCTCACTAAAATTCGTCTGTCTCGCGGGACAAAGTGGTGATCCAACAGTAAACGCGACGCAACACCACCGTCACAAGTAGCCGACGATGTTATAGTGCCAACTGCTTGAATGCCTTCATCACTTTCGGATTCGAAACTTCCACTGCAACGAATCAGTGACGAAGTTCCCCATACGGTCTTGTCAGCTTTCTTGTACTTCAAGTCATTTTCGCTATCAGTACTGCTGTCATTTTCACTACTGCTTCTTGTCTTACCCAGTCGTCGCATCCTTTTCGACTTTTTCTTCCTCTCATGAGGAGACTTGACTGCATTCGTGTTTCCATCAGCTGCATTGAGCATGCTTGCATCAAATAGAATCACCGAAGCAGGTTGTTCACGCTGTATCGCAGGATAATTTGCATCTTTCGTCGTACTGCAATTGTTCGAGGAAATTTTGTGCGTACTCGACCCAAGATTTTGTTTACTTCGATATGTAGCTGCAAGAGCAATTGCAGTACTTGAAGGAGACAGCAAGACTGTAGTTGCTCGAGGCGCTGATAGTTTGTTGGCAGCTCTTAACGAACGTGGTAGATTCGATGGTTTTTTCTTTTCAACAAAAGGTGCATCTTCTGGGTACAATTGAATAGTCTCCCTCACTGTCGGTACACCAATGCTTTGATTGCATTTTCGAGTCATTAGAGTTGACTGTTGTTCCAGCCATTGCGTGGGAGGATTTGATGACAATGTGATCGATGCAAGAAGCTCATCGTCAAGTCCACTCAATAATGACGGATCCGAACTTATGAGTTGTACAAGAGCCTTCTGTTTGCTCGAAGTATTTAGTACTCGACTCATAACCAGTAAGCGAAGGTGATTGCAATAATTGCAATGTAAATGAATACACTCAATCAATCCCTTTTACTTCCGCTGGAAGTCCGCAAGCGTGAAAAATGTGTAGTTCAATGTTATTTTAAACACCTGTTTGTCGCGCTAACTGGAACTGGCAAATGCGCTTGTACAAGTAATAAAATCTTCTACACCCAATGCACGCAAGAGTTCCAGATTGAAGCGACACAAACTGGTTTGTCTGCCGGTCCGTACGCTTGCTTCGATGAAACTTCCATGGAACGGTTCATAATTAATGTCGGCGGACGTTGAAGTTGTGTAGACCACACACCTCATTGACAACCTAACTATCGCTTTAATTAGTCAGTTTTATGCTAGTTTCACTTTTCTGTTAACCTGTGTTAGTACATTGACAGACATAAATCACGTAGTCACTATTTCTCGGATGCACTTCAATCTTTTTTAAAATGTAATAGACACCCAATATTCGAAAATACGCTTCAATAATATTTTTAAACCAGAGTTTACAAAGTTTTGAGACGGGTTGCTCCAGCTTTAAGCCAGAATATAGGGCGCAGCATATAAATTTTTAAAAGTAGAACAATTTTCAACTCTTTTCTCTTTTAAAGAGATTTGCTTATTAGACGCTATTCTTACTTGGCAAATGTCTTGCTTCGCACAGAAAAAACTACTAATAATGGGTGTCCATCAAGGTGCACCCTCATAGAGTCGTTGTATAGTGGAACACGATACTTGACTTCGCCACCTTCTTGCTGACGGGCCACACGTTTGAGCGAGAGCGTACAGTGCCCATTAACTGCCTCATTTTTAACCCATACCAACATATGAAGCTGCTCAAGCGGCCGTGCGTGTTGAAGAACTGCGTTAAGCGATAGATTCAGTCCATTGGAACCTTGACAGCGCTCACCAATAACGTCACATTGTTTCGAATCTTCTCCAACTAAAGGCGCGACAATACGCGTCTTCTTTGGAACGACTGTACTGGAATCGCCCCAAACCAAAAACATATTGAAAACTCGTAAAACTGTTGAGACAGGACGTTGCTGCGCTTTCATCTGCCGAACAACACGAGCTTGATCAAAATAGCTACCGTTCACTGCGCTCGAGTATCTGTCTATATTACTAAATTTACTGGCTGTCGAAAAAGAACGTGAACTGCGATGCAATAATCTCCGCGGAGATCCTAATCCCAACACATCGTTCTCCTGATGTGGAAAACTGAGCACAAAAGTGCCATACACGGGACTGTGGTCACTTACGTCCATACCATCACCATGGTTAACGGATCTATAATTGTCAATATACCGCAATTGCGCATTTTTTCGAGACGTCGGATCGGGAACCTTTTCAGGAACTAGTTTTGAGTCACTGACGAGAAGTGAGTGGATTAAGATACGGTCACACCACCCAGGTACACGCTTTTTCACCTTTCCTCCCTTGTAAAACGGCTCCTTGTACAGCACACGCCAGACCAGAGACGGCCATAACGGTAGCTTCTCATTCACAGGTCCACGCTTTGGAAACTTTTTGTACGTTGGATAGAAGTCGGGAAATTTATGTGGTTCGGTAAATCCTTCAAAGACACCGCCATTTCGTCGGTCATTCAACAAGCCGTCAAATTTATCGTGAAGCTCAAGATTGCGACCCTCTTCAAGCATGTGGAGCACCATCTGAGGATCGAGTAACACAATGCGGTAATTCATGTCACCCATCCATACAACATGATGAAATTGTTCCGTCAGGTCAAAACTGTAGTGGCCCATCACTCGACCCAGACTAGCATTCAGATTTCGAATCTGCTCACGGCGGTAGTTATCATTTCGTGCATCTAAGTGGCAATTTACAAACACGATCGTTGTGTGATTGATCATTAAAGCTACCGCGACACCACCTTTTGATCCACTTGTAAGTTTAAACTTGTGTGCCCCTGCCCGTATCAATTTCACCTTATCTTGAATATCTGCACAGTAAAATACAGCCATGCCTGTAAACTTTGTACCAACAAAAGCTCCGTCCCCACGACCGTGAACAGCATCAATCACGGCATCAGGAGGATAGTTTTTATGGTTGACCATAAAACTGCTATTTTTCATCTCCATGCGATAATAGCGTGCACCTTGCTCATTGCGATTTAGATACGCCTCCACGGCGTGGTAGACATTTTCTGAAACGCCTTCTTGGATCCCAAGCACATACAATTGGTATCCATGTGGTAAAAAATTCTGCAACATAGTTGCTGAGCGTTGTTCATCGATAATCCCTTTTCCATCATCAAACGGGTCAGCTGCGCCCATATTCCACGTGCCTACCCACAGACGCACGTCCCACATACTTGATCGTTTTGCTGTCATTATACTTGTTGGTCCTGATGAGATACTACCGGTCCGTAGTCCTACTTCGAAGTACGAGCGCGGTGATGTTATCCGATTCTCCACTTCATCCGAGCTTTCATCAAGGCTTAAACCGGCCGAAGACGGAGAGTGCTGAGCTATTGTAGCAGATAATTGCTGTGCTTTCGTCAATGCAAAATGCTTTGACCGCATACTCGCTGACTCCTCTTCCGTCTCGGAGCTTGAATCGCTCTTGCGAGAGGTCTCATGCGTACTTGGAGTTGCAGTAACAGTTGACAAGGATGTTCCGATCTTGTCCCTACCGTTGGCCGTGGTGGGCGCCACAAATGGGTACGTGCGCATTTTCTCAAGCACAAACTCAGGATGCTCAAGATCCGATAAATTATTGCAGCTAAAACTGCTCTTGACGTTATTTGCTCCATTCCAGTAGCCCGAGCGCAGCTTTCCTGCCGCTTCGGTGACACTAGCAACGGACGCCAAGCGTCTTGTACGCGTCCGATGCGATGCAGCGGCAGCTTCCGCTACTGTAAGTCCCGTAAAACCCGTAAACCCAAATCCATTGGCACAGCTTTGTGACTTACTTAAATTCCCACGATGGCGGATAGGTTTTAATACGTCGTTCTCGACGTTCGTCTTGGTTAATTTACTGCGCAAGTCACCCCCTGGTACTGTTTGTGGTGGTTCTTTACCATTCTTCAGCCTATAATTTTCAAGTTCGAGCTCTTGAACACGTCGACTCAATCTTGCAGCTGTTTCAGCCCACTCTGTTGAGTTACGCTGGTGCTCCACATCTTGCATTTGGTTAATACTAGCGTTACGACTCACAGTGTCTTCAAGGCGTCCATTGCTACCATTGCATCGTCTTTCAGATGCCTCAGTGCTACTGTTGCGTGGTGGAAGTCCTGTACGTCTGTGTGCAGTCGGACGTGGACTACTCATGACACTACTGCCATCAGAGCTTCGTGTACGTTGCTTTCGGAGCGCAGGCGACGCATATGACGAAGACGGTGGTGACGTTGGTGGCTTGGACGTTGACGTGGTGTCTGACGCACGGCTATGTGTCGGCGACACAAGTCGTCGCTGATTATGCATTTTATTGGGCACAAGAAGCTCCTGGAGCGATGACGGCTCCTCAATCTGAGTAAACGCACGAGTCACGCGGACACGCGGACCTCGAGCCGTAGTAGAAGTTAACGGAATGTCTGGCTGGTGATCAACCATGCTAGTACTCGGACTGTTGAAGCGCTGTGACGGTATCTCGGCCATACTGAGCAAATTACGATAAAAGGTGTTGGCTTCTGTGTTCTCAAGGTCACACTGAACCCACTGACTGAATTGAAGCGTTTTTGTACCAATGTTGGTTCCTCGTGATCGTGAGGCAATCGAAGACTTTGTTACAAAAACAATATCTTAACTTTCAGTTACTAAACAATTGCTTCAAAAAATATTTATCCATCTTTCTAATACTATACGTGTAATAGCTGAACTTCAAGGTAGTAAAAGGTCAGAAATTCACGGAAATTGTGCGTTTTTCGTAGGATATTGTAATACAAATTGACGCACGATAACGTTTCAATACATGAACTTTAGTTCTGGCTTTCTGGAATTTCGAACATCAGGTTTCTTAGACGATCAGAACGTGTCGCTTACCGCACATTGCAAACTGATAAATTTTATGACTCATGTGTTGATTATACTTGTGTTGTCGATCGAGACTCGAGAGAACTCGAACGACCACACGACAATTCAGTGAATTGCAATTCGTTCGTAGTGCGATATTTGGTTCTACATGTATGCGGCCCTAGTTATTGTTCATGCACCCATCGCGCTGTATTGGGACAAGACTTTTACAACACGCAGTGCAATTACGATTCCTCTGAATGATCAAGAAAATCAAGGTCATAATATTAATTAACTTGCCTTCTTACGGAAAGCTTACTTAATCCTACATTTTCAGGGGCGCCGCTTAAATGTTGGCGACTGATAAGTCACTGAAGGGGTAAAGAGTCTGTGTTATGGACTAATAAACTAGGAACCTAAGATATGGTATACGTACACATTGCAATTGTATATAGGACATACAGAGGCTAGAAGTATAAAATAGTATTATTTACGATTTCTGAGTGACTACTACCCAAAATTATAATAATCATCAAGGATTCATTATTTAGATGACGAATCATACAAATTGTGGTATCAGCTTTGACTAGCTAAATTCGACGTCCTAGAACGGCTTTGAATCAGTCCTTGTGTGTTTAAGGCGGGATTAACGACTCAACGCTTTCCCTGTACACCCTTGGTTGCACTTATTGCTTCAAGTCTAGATTAGACTGTATCCTCTGTGAGGATGATGTATGTTATGTTCCCGTCCTCGAGATATCAGATCACTATTGACAAGCTCCTATCTTAGTTGGTCTGAGGTGGTAGCAAAATTGACGGTTCGAGGCCCAAAGAGATAGGACGATACATCAGTGATACACTTACAGAAACGTCTCAACCTGACTACTTTGGAAGCACTATCGGCTCCCCTGTAGAGCACTGAAGAGTGGGATCGCTTCATTGTGCGTCAGGCCGTTGAGGACAGGACTATTTTCATCATATATATCGAGAATCGCTATGCTTAGTCAGAATTGAAGCGTGTCGTTAAATTTCTCTTAATCACCCGTTGACGACAACGACAATTAAAGTATATATCCGAGAGGTAAGAGCTCCAAAGCTGGGAAGCTGGCTAGAAAACCGGCTGACTTACCTCCAAAATTGGTTTCGGTTACCGTCTTCGTGGATTATCAATGTATAGACGCGCTTCGCAACGATATCTTTCGTGCTCACCCAGCTTCTCTCAGAGAAGCGGTGAGTTTCGCATTGAGGAAGACCACAACTTTCAATCTGCAAGGGTCGGCGCAGGAGGTGATAATTATTCAAAATCACCAAAAGAGATGCACATAAGCCAGACTGACACGAAAGGATAAGTCTCTTAGTTTTTGGGCAGCGTCGCGGTAGACGCCGGCTAAATGTTTTGTGAGCCAATCATTTTCGCCTGCATGTCTCTTCTTTCTGGGTTTAGATGTGCAAAGGGTAAAGTAAAGTCCAGTAGGCTGAATGTGGCCTGCCGGATAAGGATTGAGTTGTGTTGAACCCCTAAAGGTGAGCTTAACAGCTCCCATCCCTGACTGAGCGATTGACTTCAAGAGAGACGAGCTCATAGCAACTATTTTATTGTTTTTTTTCACCCTCCCGGCTTTTGGTAGGTATGGAAAGTCCCAAAACCCTCGAAAGTGTCGTGCGGTTTTTGTGCGACACGCGATTGTTGAGTAATTTCTTAGAACGCCTCTCCTTTTTAGGAGTCGAATAAGCCATGTCAACCGCGTGCTGTAGGGTTTTATTCATTGCACTCTAACCCCGCTCGACCCGGCCCGGGGATCGAACCCTGGGCCTGCCGGTTCTGAAGTGAACAGCATTTCACTGCACCACAGCGATTGTTGAGAACAATGAAAATGAGCGAGATATTGAAAATACTAAGTACAAATACCGCGTCTGTGTGTCTGGCAACGGGGACACTTGTTTCAACGTGAAAAGACATTTTTAATCTTTCAGTAATGTTGAGGAATTTGGCTGCATAAAACGCCGTATAGTCTCCAACATCGGTTTAAAATACAATCTTTTTAAAATTATATTTAAAAATCACTGATCATCTGAAATCGGTTCGGCTCAGTTCTCTCATATTGAGCTTCGGTAAGTTAAGTAATCATCTCTGCAATAGAGCAGAAGGAAATCCGTTACGTGCAGTAAGCAATTACAGCTTTGATATGAGATGTTCCGAATATTAAGCAATCCAATTGTGGAAAGCTCTGAACATAGGTCGTAAAGAGGTAGCGTCTGTAAGCTGCAGCCTTCAGATAAGACGTGAAATAACAACCGAGTGCCGCGGTACGAAGATCATGGAAGGGCGCTAGCAACCGCGTATCGATGTATCCATTTCAAATCCAAGATGAATATTTTGGCTTTGAGCTGGGTACTTAGAACTTACTCCCCGCGCGGTGATTATGTTTCGCAGTCTCCAAGAAAAATATCTGTGGAGATAGGCGACTGTTAGTCGCGAGCAGAAGAGTAGGCTTTGATGCTCAGGGATGATCTATCCTGTCACGGTGTCATGATTTCACCTGGTAATCCACATTCTACGGCACGGAGTGTTGAAGCTTCGTTGGCAAGCGGGATAACTCAAATGTGGAAGGAGTGACTGGAAAAGCTCTAACGCTGTAATTTTTGTGTAACAAGTTTGTCTTTGGTAACAAAAAAAATCTAGCATGCTTAATCATGGACCATGGCCTGCGGGCAAATCCCGTAAGGATCAAGCCCATTCCTGACTAGCCAGTGCCTCTGTTTTGAAAGAATTAAAGGTAATGATTTGGTCAGGCCAGCTACTTCACAGATATTGTGCATATTTTGCCGACACGACATGATCCTTACTAATCTCGTTTAAAAGGATGTCAAATTGTGCTATAACGCGATAAAAGAGCATTTTAAATTTTGTGCAGAAATTTCATGTGTGCTTGATTTAGGCTCGTTTGAATTCGGATATTTCATTTCGTCTGAGATGTTTCAGCTCTTCCAATACACCGCGCATTATTTTGTCCAAGGGACATTATTGGAATGTGTATGCATGCCATAATATTGTAGGTACCCCTCAACCCTCTTACTCACTAAAAATTAAACATACTGGACTCAAAAAAAAAATCTTTATAACTCATTTAAAAACATCAAACGCCTCAGGGACACCCACTACGCTTAGAGCTCTTAGCTTTCGCTTCCATTTCACAGTGCATGCTCTTGCGAGCATTACAGGCTCCAGGAGTCTGGTTCCTTATGTGCTCATTTCGCTCGGGGAGCAACTGCAAAAAGGCGCGGCCTTTAGATCAAGATTTGAGAGCTATACTGGAAGAGGGTGTGGTTCACAATGGTCCCCCAAACACTACACACATGTGTTAGAAGAAGCAGGGCAGTCCCGACTTGGAGGGAATAAGAAGCGACTATAGACCTTACCGTTACATTAGCAACTGTTATTGGTTCCAAGCTATATGCAAAACACCACAAGTTTCTTGAAGATTTTACTGATCCGAACTTGGCTTCTGATTCAAAAAATCGTGGGTTTACCGAGGTTAAGAAATCAGCTTGAATTTATACAAGATCTTAGGTGTAAGGAGCTTGAACTTTGAACGACATTAACTTTAACCTTCGTGGAAAGTATCCAGTGGAAATGACTGGTGTACACCGCCCATTTCAAAACAAAGAGAAACGTCGGTCTCGTCACTAGTACAGATCCACAAGTAGAAACCAGCATTCTGTACCCCCCAGAATGTTTGTGACTTCATATGAGATGCCACGTATGTATTTGTGAACACCATACTGTAATCTCATTGTACAAAGGCGTATCCATTTACTTTTTAAATGCATTGCGGTAATTACATTTATGCACCTTCATGTGGAGGCTAGTGTAGCCCATTACATCATGTCATCCGTGAAGTCAAAAATATTTTGAAACTCTTGCAGACTTTTTGAGGTAGTTCACATTCCTATTAACAATGAAGTGGTCAAGTGAACAAGCCAATGTCAAAGAACGGTTCCAGAGCGCATTGACAACTCCTTCATTCTCAATTGAAATCCGGACACGAGTATCTACATGCAACTTTTTTTTTTCGTTGGTGTCGGATCAGCAATCGTAGTTATCCAACCTGGACCATTGCGGCTGAACTAAACTCTTGTCAGACATTTATTCGCTTGGAGAACGAGAACAAGATGGAGCGTCTGCCTCGCCAAGTCTGCGCTTGAACGGATCTTAATCACGACATGGTACAATCAAGCTCTGGTCGTTGTAGTGTTGCCTCTAGCAGCTCTACAAGCAATTCTCGTTGTTGCGGGGATATGAGGCTCTAGGGTCTGACGAAGTTCCCACTTGTCCGAGGATTATGATTAGCTATGCCACCAAACTCTGTATGAGCGCTGATGACTCAAATATTTTTTTACGATGACCAGTCTATCGATCCTCGTAATCGACAATCGTCTCAACTACCCAACGACGCCCTTTGTAAAAGTATCAATGAGGAGGTGGGGTTGAACTTGAAAACGATTCAGCGACTCGGAAAGTAGAGGAGCGCTCATCGAGGGCAAATCGAGGCGTTGCCGCAACATTTCTCGACGCTTGAAGATTGCTGGAAGAGCATTTTAAATTTTGTTGCGGGAAACCCGATGTTCTGACTGATGGTTCCGCC